TGTACATAACCCTCAAATTATGTGAGACCTACAAAAAATAAAAAATCAAGTGGATCCCTCCAGGTAAGTGTTATGTACATTTATTATATACTTGTAGCATTTTCTTAAATTAAAATAATAAATCTGGATACGAAATTATGTTAAACTATTAATACTATTTATGGATAGATGTATGGGTGTGAATGGTGATTTAAATTTACTTTTCGTCATGTGTTAGCTGCATCACGGCCGATTGGTCTTCATGTGTTAGCTTCTCCTCCTCCGAGTTTGAGCGATTGGCTTATGCATGATGTTATTGGGGTTTCTTATCCCCGCAGTATCGTAGCTACCGTATAGGCTTCAAGACTCCTTTTTTGTACCAAAAAAAAAAATTACTTTCCGTCATTTCATCTATTTATTGCATATGATATCATTTACTTAATTTTTTTATAAAGTATAAATACATAAATTTTCAGTCAATTGATATATCAAATATAATATAGAAACCGAGTTTTCAAAAATTTTGTTACCATATATATAATGCACACTTAAAAATCTCATGAAACAATACCCCGCAATTTATGGCTATTGTTTTTGTTTTTAAATGTGTTATGATTTATGTTTTTATCTCTCCATCAAACTGTTTTGCAAAAATATATTGGCCAAATTTTGTGTGGCATAAAAAATAACAACTTCCACCATTCAAGGGCATCATTAAATGCTCCATGATTTTATTTAAAAATAAAAAATAAAAACTACTATAAATAGTATATAATTAATGCATAAGATTTTGACAAAGATTTGACATACGATTTTTAACAAATAGTAATTCTTTTTATATATATATAGATTTTATCTATTGAGAAAAATGTATTTATCAAATTATTAGGTGATCAACACCGAACACATCGAAGTTAGAAAGATACAGAGACAAAGACATAAAACACAAATAACTCTTGATTTGATAAGACAAAATATTAACAATGCATAATGATCACATCATGTTATTGTGATCTATTCAAAGTTAGGCAAGTGTCCATTTATATGCTATAGACACACCCACTTTATCTAAACTCAGGTTTAATAAAATAAGTATATTTTCTATTAAAATGTTAAAATGGGCAGAAAATTGTATTGGCAAAAATGATATATAGGCTAGGTTTAAGAATAAATAGTGAAAATTTTTCCATGATATATTCACATTTTGAAGATGGGCGAGCAAAAACGGCAAGAAATGGTTGGTCATCGGGACGATTGTTATGTTGAGAGTATTGACAGGAGTAGGTAAAATTACAACTAGACTCTGTCGAATACAAAAGAAGTATCATATGGATGCCGTATGGGCAAGTCAATTGAAACAAACTAATTTATTAAATTGTTAAGAAATAGCTCATTAAAGTCATATGCAAGTATGAGTTATAATAACGTGTTGAGTTGGAAGAAAGTATTCCAGACTCCTCTAAATACTCCACATATATCCGTGAAGTGCAGAAGACCGTGCAAAGTTATAGAGAACTCCAACAGATGGTTCTTGGATAAATCCACAAGATCAAGATGATGGCAGAGAAAATCATGAAGAACCAAAAAGAGCCAAATATCAAGAAACAAAATAAATCCATGAAAGACAAACCATGTACTTCCGGGGAACGAAGAAAAATGACTTTTGGAGCGGTACCCCTTTTAAAATAGAAAGCAAACCAACCGAAGTTCGAAGGCCAATGATGAAAGACAAAAAAATGAGAGCCATTTTAAAAACAAAATCCATTTACAGATAATGGAAAGAGTTAATCTTGAAGATTTACATGTCCTTGCAGATGGAAAGAGTCAATCTTGAAGAAGAGAGCCATTTTAAAAGAAAAATCCATTAAAAATAAAAGGAAAATTTATTAACAAATAATAGAGAACTCCTAATTGACCATTTTACTTAACTCATTAATTGCAACCACTTCAAAGTTTGCTATCGAGAGCAAAAAGAAAGTCTTATGGGAAAATAAGTTATCATCGACAAAAAATACATGGTATAAGGCGTGTAATATGTTAAATAGTTTTCCAAGCCAATAGAAATCAATCAATGTTCGAATAACGTTTTCCAGTCAAAAGAGAACGTCTGTAAAGGATAACGAGAAGAAAAAAGAATTTCAAAATGAATTCCCGCAAAGAAAGCAAGTCAACAGTGACCTGATACCTACTACGATAATGGTGAGACAAAATAACACGAAAAAAAGATTCTCTTTCAGAAATAAACATACAAAAATTCACTTCATAAAGAAAGGTACCGAGGAGACAACATGAACCACATCATGTGAAGAAAAAAATAGGCGAAATTTTATTGATACTTAACGAAAGTAAATTATTTGTAAATATACCATGGGATGATATTGTATTGCATTCCTATAAAATAGGGTAGAAATAATTATCAATATGCTAACTTTGCAGTTACAAAATCTGAAGAGTTGTAACCTCTCACTGATAATGGACCGCTTTTTACGTTAAAAATAAAAGAGATAAAAACCAACATGAAAAGTAAATAAATCCTAAAAATAAGGAAGGTGGTTCAGTGGAAATAGGGAAGATAGTGCTTTTGAATTTCAAGCGACTTCGTATAACTCAATAAAAATCTGATTCTTTCCATCCCAATTCCACGCAGTATATATTGCGTATATATTCAGTATATAAACTAATTAATATATCCGAAAAAACATGTATTATCTTCGTTTTGAAACTGGTTTATGTATATATGTAGTATATTTTCTGGGTTTTTATTCGATCTGATGTTTCTATATATATATATTGGGGTTTATATAAGTATACCTAACATATACCGAACATATACAGAATATATACTGAAAATAATTTCAGATCCAAGCGAGTTGTTCATAATTCTCATGAATTTCATTGCAATTTCGATTTTCATTCCAATTTCCCAGAAAATAATACATTCTGATCGACCGTGAAAACAAAAATTATCTAACTTGAACAACTGATGAGGGGAAACGGGTAAAGGCTCCGGTTCTCGACTTCTCGCTCGCCTCGCTGTCTGCTCGCGTGAACCCGCGTCTGCTCGACACTCGGCTCGCCACGGGTTTGACCGCTGCTACACCCGCGTATGACTGCTGTTGAAGAAGACAGCGACTATACGGCCCGATGATGGTACCTCGGTCGGCTGCTGTGCGACGGCCAGGGTTGGCAGCCGCTCTCAACTTGCTGGCGAAGAAAGACACGACGACGAGGGGAATTATGGACGACCGAAGTGGCTGAGAAAATCTTTTCTCTGAAATCTGATGTTCGATTACAAGAGTCGAAAAAATTCTGATGTGATTTGTTCAAGAAAATCTGATATAATTATTTTTGTGGCATATCTGCAAATAAAAAGTACAATTTGTTTAATATTACTATTATTTATATATTGATATTAATTGTGTAATAAAAAGAATAATGTATGGTGTTTTGAGTAATTTTCTCAAAAAAATATGACATTTTTAAGAAATAATGGAGCAACAATTCAAAACCCAGACCCAAAAGAGCATGCTATTCCAGCAAAGCATCTACCTACCGTCGGTGGAAGCAATAATAGAGAGTCTCAACCCTCTATAAAATGATGCTTGGAGGAAGCAGAAAGCGTCGATCATTCTCTTCAGCTTTTTGAAACGGTAGGATTTCATAGATAAAACACATATGTATAACAAAGCGACCGGCCAGTAGTAGCTGAATCCAATAGTCAAATGGTTGAATCCAACGAGAGGGCATCCCAAAGAGAAGTCTAGATTACAACAAACTCACCCACAATAATAAGACGGGCTAAGGTACTAAATCTTCGACTGGTGCAGTGACAACATCACTCTGAGCCATTTAGGTCAAAAATAGGTTCAAAATTACAGAGAAATTTAGTTTTACGGAAGCATGTTGAGTCTCATTTTGATTTTATAACCAATTAAATTTCAGCTAAAAAAACTTGTAAATAGCATAAATAAGTTTGTCTACGTGCGGCCGTGTAAGAACACTACCCATGTGGTATCATCGACTTAGCCTGCTACTGTACCTGTGGGGACACAAGTGGAATCTTGACTTACACGATCGATGCCGTGGAGGATTTGAAAAGTGATTAACCTTTTGGTGCTTTCATCTGGTCTGGAATTACCTAGTTGCAGCCAGTGTTCTAGAAGTCGCTAGGCGCTTGTTAGGCGCCCGACCAGCGCCTAGCGCCTAGAGCGCCTAGTCGGGGCCTAGGCGGAGTCTAGGCGGGGCCTA